CTTTATTTTTATGGAGATGGGGGATTTCTCCCTAGCTTGCTCCTTTGGCCTTCTGGCAAAGGGCAAGCAAGATTAGGGGGCATCTGAACTCCAAGGCCTCTGGGGTTGGGGCCTGCAGGTAGGATGCCTGCCAGGGATTTGGGAGTATGTGAAGCCCCAAGCTGAAGAATCTGGGAGAGAAGATACTTGCAATGGTAGTGCCACACAGACTTGAACGACTGAGCTCTTCTCAGTTGACAGAATTCAGAACTGATTTGACTAATTTGTCCTGAGACATAAAAACAAACAAACAAACAAACAAACAAACAAACAAACAAACAACAGAGTGGGAGGGCACAGGAACAGCAAGGCAGCCTCAGTGCTGGGGGAAGGAGGCAGAGCAAGAGTGCTAGAGTGATTCCTCTACATCACAGTTTCTCAGCCTATGGTATGTGTACCCTTGGGGGTACACAAGACAGGCAGGGGGTATGCACGTACCCCAACACTCTCTCTCTCTCACCCTCTTTTCTTCTCTCTCTCTCATCCTTCCCACCTCTCAAAACTATGGCAAAAAAATTGGTGCACCGCACATTATACGGTGCTTTAAATTCCCCAGTAATAATTTGGCATGCACTGGGTTCAGCCCTCCTAGCTTTGGCCAACATCTCCTCTAGCCTAGGTACATACTTGAGTTGTGCACCCCTACCCACACCAGATCAGACATCTGTCATATCACGGCCTTATATACAAAGCCGTTCTTCCAACATATGGCACACAGTCTGGAAAATTGAATATTGGGGTACTTATTAACATTTTCAGAAGTTAGGGAGTACTTGCTACTTAAAACGTTGAGAAACACTGCTCTACATAGCCACAGGCACACCAGCCACAGCATCTTAGTCTTGACCTTGAAATAAAAAAAATGAGGCTTGGAAGGGATCTCAGGAGGTCATCTATTCCAATCCCCTGCTCAAGCAGCACCATCCCCAACTAGATCATCCCAGCCAAAGTTTGTCTACCGAGGTCTTAAGAGCCTCCAAGGATGGAGGCCGCACCTCTCCGAGTAACCTATTCCATTTTTTTACTACCCTCTTAGTGAGAAAGTTTTTCCTAATCTTACCTAAACCTAAGTCTGCCCCCTTCCCCATCATTCAACAGAAAGATCTTTCCTGTTTCTCTTTCTTCCCAAGGAGTTTAGCAGCAGGGAGGTCATCAATTACACCAGGGGTGTTAAACAGCAAGATTCTACCTACACAATGTATTTTTGTACAACAACCAAAGTATGCCGGATCCAAGCTTTCATCCAGGACTCTCTCCCAGTTGGAGAGCACACCTTCCCAATGCAACCGTAGGGTACAGTGATGCCTGCCTGAGTCTGCAAAGAGCCAAAACCAAACGATGGAGAAGGCTACATTCCCCTGCTGCTCCTGCAATCCCATTGGATCAGTTACACAGCCCAGTGATGAGACTTAACCATCACCATTTGCTATTTCATTACTGATCATTATAGGGATGGGACAGCAAAGGAGGTGGGGGTGGAGCCCTGGCAGGGTAGGAACTTGGAGTTACTGAAGGGAAGTAAGCTAAGTGGGGAAAAAGATTTGCAAAGACAAGAGGGGCGGGGAAGGAGGAAGGCAGGGAAGAAAGAGAAACAAAGGGGCTGCAGCAGCATGGCCCAGCCCTGAGGAGACCCACTGAGCTCTGCTGAGGCTAACGTCCACATCAGAAGCACTGTACTGGTGATGGGGCACTGGGAAAGCACGCCTGGTACAGATGCACCTATACCAGCAGCACTGGGCTATGCCCCAGTGTCACCACCCCAAGAAATGCTCTGGGGAGGTCTGCTGGGCTGATGGGGTCTGCAGATGTTGCCTCTGCCAGTGCAGTAGTATCAGGCATGGATCACACCCCTCCACAGTCCTGCCCCAATGCCAGGGTGCCAGTGGAGATCCAATCGGCGAAGTGGACACTGTCTTAGAGCAGAGAAGGCCTTAATACAACTGAGTACCACAAAATTATTAATGTCAATGTCAATCCAGGCCATGCAGTGCACTCCGATCTCTACCAATCACCCCACAACACCCAAGGTGGATGGGACGTGAACTCCCAGGGGGTTTACTGCAATCCAGGATTAACCACAGCCCTCAGCACCCCTGTTCTGTGCAGCTGCTCCCTGCTCAGCCTCCTGCTCCTGCTGCCACCTGGTGTCTGCTAGGAGCATCAGACTTGCAGAGAGCCAGGGAGGTGGGGCAGTGCACCTTCCTCCTCCCTTCCTTAAAGGCACAGCGCACACCACTAAGCACTCCCATCCGCTCCTTAAAGGTCCCTGATATCCTGCCTCAACCTCCCCTTAAAGAGGCAGTGCACCATGCTTCCTGCAGAAGCTTCCACCTTAGGCTTCCATGGACCAGCTTTGGAGGAGGGGCATGCGTGCACTCTCTCTCTCCACCCCCCCCCCCCAAAAAAGGGACAGATTCACAGTGTTGAGCAAAGCAAAGCTCCCCCTGATCCCCAACCCAGGTCCCATAGCTAGGTCCAGTGTAGTTCCCTTCCTCCACCCCTCTGATTAAAAGGTAGGGGGTGGGGGAAATGGGAAACATGTGTTGGCTTGAGGCATGTAGACATAGAGGTGCGGGGCTGAAGGCCAAACAGGGATCAGAGCATTCCCCCCAGCCAGGGCTGCAATGAGATGGGGAGCAATACCACCCCCCCACCCCCCAGGAATGCCCAAGGTCTCCCAACTGCCAGGAAGCAGCAGGTGCCCTCTACCATGCAGGATGACACCTGGGCAGGCAGCATTATGCCAACTTGTCAACCTGTCTCAGTGCCCCCTTCTCCAGGATTGCCCGCCCTAGCTCCATGTCACTTACCACCCACGCAGCGTGCTGGGGGCTCCTCCTCAAGTGCACTGTGCTTATGCCTTCCACGGGGAGGATCATACTCCCGAGCCCGGTTCTACACAACTGCCCCCTCACTGCACACGAGGGCCAGACGATGCTTCTGGTCCAGTGACCAACGGGTCCAGCCGGGGTCCCCTCCACCACAGGACAATACACCCCGTGGCTCTGCCTGGTGGCAGTCAGCAGGATCCCCTGGTACCTCTCACCTCCTCTGGCCCAGCCGCCTGGAAACTCAACCCAGAGCTGGCAAGAGTCCCAGGTTGCACAAGCCGCTCAGCAAAGTGCCTGCCCGACACGCCTCTCCGTGAAAGGACGAACGAAGAAGGAGGGTTGGAAAGAAGAAAGATGTGGCCGATGGCAGCAGCTTATTGCGAGCAGATATTTGCGTTGGGAGCTGCCCAGACCAAACCCAGTGACTTGGGGCCCCTTGGCCTCCCCAACTCTCCAGAAAAGGGCACGGCTGGCGGCTACCCAGCAACAGCCAGAAATCTACTGGCTGCCCCCAGTCCTCTGAATAAAGAGCTGCCTGCTGCTGCTGCTGGCTGTTCCAGCCCGCCAGCCTGGAGCTGTGAGGTGTGAATAGTCTGACAGCTCCACCCTGGCCTGACCCTGGGTGGAGCTCCTTAAAAGGGACAAGCTGCAGAGAGGGAGAGAGGAGGGGAGGGGAAGGGAGGGGCCGAGTGCCAAGCCAAGCCCGCAGCCGCCGCCTCCGCCTTCCTCCTCCCCTCCCCTGCCACGGAAGCATGCCAGCTCGCTCATCCCCAGGTAGCGTGGCCTCCAGAGTAGCGCCTGGCTCCTTGCTCTGGCCTCTGTCCCTTGGCGCACAAGCTGCAGCTAAATGGGTCATTCAGGACTGTGAGCTCCCCATGCGCTGGAAGGGAGGAACGGGCAGGGGAGAAAGGTGGGGAGAAAGGGGGAGGGGAAAACGCAGCAGATCTGAGCCTGACAACTGGTTGCAATATTTAGAGACAATGCTCGCCATGGCAACCAAGAACACGCAGCACCGGGCAAGGACGGGGAGGTCAGGGTGTGCTCCCCACAGAGCAGGCAGGAGACAAGCAGACTGGAGGGCAGCAATGGGAGTTGACAAGGGGTCCCACTAAGGGGCACTGGTCTGGTGCCTGCTTTACTGTGGGTGAGGGGCCCTCTAGGGATCACAGGGTCAGCAGAAATGATCTCAAGGGCCTCTGCCCCAACACCCACTGGGGATGGATGTGGCCTCCCATCCCCAGGCTGGCTGCCCAGGCAGGAGATCCCTATGCGGTTTGCACTTGCTTTCTCATGAGATGACCCCACATCCCACCTCTGGCAGCCACACACACAAAGATGGAGCCGTTCCAGATACACACCCTTGCACACCCTCCCAGTAAGCCAGGTCCTAGGTAAGACCCCAAGGCAAACTATTTAAAGCACATCTATCACTTCTCCCCCTCACTGGGGCTGAGGGGTTCAAGGGTGGCAGTGAAAAGGGACTTTGCTCCTGTCCACTCTCCCCAAAAGCCCTGAGTAAGGGAGAGAGGGAGGGATGGCTTCCTGCTCCACCCAAACTACAGCAGCCTGACAAAGAATGGGAGTCTCTTGCACAGAGAAAAAAGCTGTTTCTTGTTTTAACCCTTCATCTTCCAGCACATTCCAGCCTGCTGCTCAGACAAAAGGGTCTGTCTATAGTACAGGCTTCTAGCCAGATTTCAGCCAAAACTCCCAACAGCCCTCCTACAAAACCTTGCCTGCCTGTAGTTATGGGAGCTTTCAACCCAGCCTCATGTTGACCATCTGGGCGTACAGATCAGAGCAAGTTCTCCTTTTGATATACATCGGGGGGGGTCTCTTTGGATATGCCCACTTGTAATGTAGCTAGAACCCAGGAAGCGGGGCTCAGGTTTTGACAGTCCTCCAGTGCCATCCCACGGTTTCCCAAACCTGTATTTTCTGGCCCCTCTGCCAACTGACATCCCACACACCACCTACATGCCAGTAGCTACCTGCCGGTTTATGTACGTCTGTTCAGCGTTTAACCCTTCATTCCTACCAGCCTACTCCAGAACACCACTGCCAAAAGTCCCTAGATGACACTATCCCACCGTGCTCATAGCTGGCCAGAAGACATGGGGTTCTGCTTACCATTTAGTGTAACCACAGGGAATATATGGAGGCTGGAACAATCGATTTAAACCTGCACATACAAAAAAAAAAAAAAAAAATGAAAAGGCAGAAGAAGACAATGAAGCCAACAGCTGTTCAAATGCAAGAAGTCCATTACACGAAGACTGTCTACCTCCAGGCCAAGAAGAAAGTACCAAGTGTGCTATATTGTTTTATATATCCTTACATGCATCTCCTAGTGATACAAGGGGGTTGTGCACCTGTATTCCCATTTCCCTTGCTCAATCAACGGTTGCTTCTACCAGGCAGTGCCTTGGGCCTGCTCCTGGCAAATACTCACGCCCTCACAGTGCAGATTGTGCTGGGCTGTGACACGCAGAACTTGAGAATGACATTACCTATGTAGGTAGCCCAAAGACTTTGTGGACAGCAGCATCCTGCTTTCAGCCTGCCACATGCAGGTTTCCCTGCTGTGTTGCATCTTCAGGTGGGGGTGTGTTTAATTAAGCTCTCTCCTTCAAGGGGGGCTGAGGTTGGGATATGGTTTCCTGAGCCACAGCAGTTGAGGATAAGCAACATCCTTGACATTAACAATAGACCCCACACTGATAACCATCTTGTTAGAAAGGAATAAGATCCCTACATACCCCAAAAGGTTCTGACCCCGTGCACCCCAAGAGATCCTGATACCCTGACTCTGCACCAATGCTGGTGCTCACTGACTTGTCTCTGATTGGCAAGACCAGAGAACACTGACTAATGGCCTTTGAGCTAGTATCTTCACACGCTTTTTACTGTGACCAAACCACAGACACCTAAGCATTATCGAGGGGCTTCCTGAAATGTGCTGGAGCCATTCTCTCAAATGTAGCTGGGATGTCAGACACAAGGACCATGTCCACCACAGACATTTTTATCTCACAAACATTCACAGCCTCAGCACCAGGTTCACGTAATGTCCAACTGGCTGCCCATGGACCTTTAAGTAGTCTGTGATAGCCAACCCACAGCTGACAGCAACATGCCTCCATTTGTCTCTCCTGGCACAAGAAAGTCAAGGTAAACTCTCTCATGGGGTTCCAGAACATGCCCTTCCTTGTGTGGAAGTTCTGATCATCCCAGAGCAATACACCTCTACAACTACATGCAAAATGTCCTACAGCAGAAGTACCAATCTACATATGGGGAACACACACCCAACTGTTGTTCCCTCTCCATGACCTTGCCATCCAGCATAAAGAAACTGCCTTCCACCACCTCTCACACCCTCCAACTGCATCCTGCTACAATACCAATGCAGTCAGAAGCAGGAACAACTCATCCACTTGTGCTGGATTCCTGGATTGTCACTGGCTGGAGCAGAAAGAAGCAAGGAGCACGCGGATGGAGAAGTGTCTCAGCTAAACCTGCTGGGGGTGCAAAGAACACTCGTGTTCAGAGACCCTGGAGGAAGAAAGGTTTCCACACACTATGCCACAAACCAAGTCTTAGAGCACTCCAAGACCACAACACCATGCCCAGGTTACTGCAGCTCCAGTGTGAACAGAAGCACAGAGGTACAGTCTGGACATTGGGAAGCACATCCGCATGCTCCGGGAAGCCAGAAAGTGGGTCAGGGAGTTAATGCCCCCATCATCACAGACTCTCCAAATGTAACAAGTGGGAAATACCTAACACAGCACCCAGGGCAATGCAAGCTCCAACTGGTTAAAGGCAGTTCCAGCACTGCCCAAATGCTCTGCCAGAAGTCTATACAAGGAAACGGGGCTATCCAGGGGTGTTGAATGCCGCTTCAGTGTCACTATTCTTTACAAGATCACCCCATAAAATCCACTTCTCCAACATGTAACGACTGGAGGACCAAAGTCTTACCCTAGCCCAACACTTCCGCATCTAGTGGAGCAGATAATTCATGGCAACAATTTGGGCTCATGGCCTGTTGTGATGGGGAGAGAGTTACCAGCCATCCAAAGCTCACTGCCATCCCACCTGAATCAGCTGAAAACAGCTAAGGCACAGAGGAGATGCAGCATGGACAGGTCCTGAACAAGTACAGAATCTCAGTTGCAACATCCGTCTGACTTGAACATACAATGAAACCAGAGTTGCATTTTTACCTCCCAGCCACAGCCAAGTTGTGATTTGGGCAGCACCTGAAACTGGGCTCAGAAAGCACCACTGGCACCATACTAAGACACGCCAGCACATTATCCTCATTCTGTCAGGGGCTCCCGTCTCCAGCAGGAAACAGTCAAACCAGTTATAAAAAAGCAAGGACCTTCTTGGGCAGATGGCAGGGGAGCCAATACCCATGACACTCAGCACTAGCTTACATGAATGGGAGCTACATTTAGAGCTGATTATAGATCCTGAGTTTGGTGCTGCAACAAAAAAAAAAAAAAACACCTTGTATCCTCACACCGTGCTCTAGGTACAGCACCAAACACAGTGAGGTCCCAGTCCCTGGCTTGGACACACAGCACAAGGATAACACAAATCTGCACCTTCCCTTACAGACCTCCCAGACATCCACTGCACCTCACACAGCCCCACGCTTCAGCCTCAACCAAACTGCATCTCCACAGAGCACAGCCTACCCTGCACTTGCAAACCCCTCCGTCCCACACATACTCTCAAGCCCTCACCCCATCCCACACACTGCTCAGCCTCCACCCCCCAGGCTTCCACACCCGCTGGGCTGTTTTAACCCCTCGCCACCCCCCCTTGCCACCCAAGTTTCAAAGGCAGCATCTTTCTTCTCTCTGCACCCAAGTCCCATCTGAGAGAGGCAAAAGGGGTGGTAAGCAAGGGTTAAGCCAAGCATGGCCTAATAGAGAGCAGCTGAGAGGTGTGGAGACAGACACCCTGTGCTCTGGGCCGTGGCTGCTGCTGACAGGGCTATTTCTCCTGCTGGAGCTGAATGAACAGGCTGGCTAGGGCGGAGCCCTGCCCCCGGCTCTGGGGCGGTGGGCAGGGGAGGGGAATGAAAGGCCTCACTGACAGGACTCCACCCTCTGCGCTCCCAAGCTGAACAAACAAAACCCTCTGGAGCTCCAGCTGGGAGAGGAGGCTTGGGGAGCAGGGGGAGGAGAGGATGGGGGTGGGGGAGGCAGAATAGAGACAAGCCTGTGTTCCTCAGGCACCACTATTCACAGGAGGCACCGACGTCACCGAGGCTGGCGCAGCGGCCCCGGCCTGGAACTCCAGCTCAGCCCCGGCAGCAGCCTCCCACAGAACCGGGCGCGGCTGGGCTGGGCTGGGCTGGGCTGGGCTAGGCCGGGGGGGGGGCCGTGGCGCGCCCGCTCCCAGCTGGCTTTCCGGCCTCACGGGGTAAGGAAAAAAAATTGCATCACGAGGCCAGCACTGTTAGAGTTACAAAGCCAGATCTGCATTCAACCCTTTGGGGCTTTCCTGATCCAGGGCTGGGCCACTAGGTATGGAAAGGCTGGTGGAAAAGGCAGGGGGTAGGTGTTAGAATTGGAAGGTCTATTTGGGATCCATGTCTGATTACAAGGGGAAATGAAACCCACCACAAAAGAGCTGCTACCATGAGAAGCAGGGGCACTCTGGGGCATGGAGAGAGCTCCTGTCCTTGGTTATTCTGTCAGCTGGGCAACTACATCCAGCACAGAAGCCAAACAAACACACGTCTGTATGCTTCTTCTGGGTAATAGCCAGGGCCATCCATCTGGAGAGTAGCATCTAGTGGTCTCAGGAGGTACCAAGATCTCACTGAGCTTCAATTCCCACTGAGAGGTCACTGCTTCGTTCTATCATCCCATTACGCTAGAAAAATAGTATTATTATTAATAATAATAATAGTACTAACAACAACAGCCATGGCAGAAAAGCAGTGCCATTTCTCAAGCCATTAAACCACCTCTTCTTGGACAACACTGGTGTCACACTCTCATGGAAATGGTAGTAATGATAACTATACCCCTCAGGAGAAGCTTTCTGACATGACAGACCTTCCTGACAATGGCAGCATCTTTTGCTGCATCTATTGAGAAGATCATGGCACCCCCCAAAGTGTGACAGGTAACCATGCAATGAATGAGAACATCCCAGGGATGTGTGGCAAGCCAACTGCCTCCATGCCAGCAATGCTGCATTTCCCGGCACCATCACCCTGGCCTCTCCCCAGACACAGTTCAGAACTATTGTCACCCCTTGCCATACAATGTTAGAGCTGTGACTCGTGTTTGCACACTTAACAAGATAAACCCAAGGATTTCAAATAGGAATCCAGTGTTAAAATCTTTCTGGCCTGTTGTGGTCTTTCTGAATTCTCTGCAACTTTCATTGATCAGGTAATGTTTCATGTTAGAGTAGCTAAATCTTGCTAACCAAGCCCTGGCATTTTCCCTGAATTAAAACAAATGCATAATGGTCCCAAATTCAATCCTGGTGTGAGCTACTAGAGTCTGTGGATCCACATGAGGTGAATCTGGCCCTTACAGAAGGGGAACCCCTTGAGTGCATTTCCAGACAGATCAAGAGCACCTCTGCCTGCAAGCACTCCGCCCAAAGCGCATGCTGCCAATTTCTCTAGTCCCCAGAATGGGTAATCTTGTCCGTCTGCTGTCCCTCCACCCCCAATGGGTATGTGCACACCCTGCCTTGAAAACGGGTGTGGGCATGTTGGCAGCTTCAGGCATATCATCAATATTATCCCTTCCCACCCCTCCCCACCACACCCTCCCAGAGGAGGGAGACGGCCTCATCTCACAGGCAACCCTAAGTAGATCTTGTTCATGCTCCCTCCCTCAAGCATAGTGAATGGGACTGAGGCCAGGTCACACCAAGACAAAGAAACAACAGTGCCCAGTTTGCATGGCCACAGACCGCACCAAGGGACAATCACAGGGTGGAATCTTCAGCCTGTGCTACAGCTCTGCTCCAGAAGTGCTGCAATGACAGCTGCCCAGGCTGCCCACCAGGCCACTTCTGCATAGAGAAGGCAGTCTCCATCTTGGTGTTCCAGGAGCCAGGCTCAGTGAACTCAACTGCTCCTAAGAGGCTCCTGCAAGACCCTCGCATCCACCCAGAGGTGCCCAGAGCTGAAAA